TATTTTAAGTGTTGATTTCACAATTATTTTGGATTTAAGTACACGATTTTGAGGTATTTATTCAATTTTGTAAATACAATTATTATTTATTACATGACATTGAATACCTACCGAAATACTATTTATTTTACTTGAGCAATCAGTTTACAATTAATATAAATAAATACATTGTAAATATATAGTATAAGTAGTGTAGTGTAGTATCGTGTATGTGTATGTAACCATAATTATTGTATAAAACAATACATTTAAAATGTATATAATTTTGTTCTAAAAACCTTATTAAACAAACTCAACATTAATTAATTAAAATTAAATAGATCAGAATATTATTATAATTCAGCCTATCTATATTTACAGTATGTAAAGATCAATAAAAAACAGTATTTTTTTCGCCTAAATATTGAATAAAAAACAAAATATATTTAGTTTATTAACATAGAATAGGTTTAACTGATAATCTTGATAATCACTACGTATTTGCGTAAAAATATATTAGTGTTTATATGCAATAACTATAAATTTAAAAAGTAAGTTCATTTAACAAAAAAACAAAAGTACCTACTCGAAGAGATTAGGTTAAAAAATAATTAATTTTGATTCACGTAAATGCCTCTGTATTTCTACTAACTTTTTGATGTAGTACGAATGCTGCATTTAATTACGTTAATTAGTTTTTGTTTAAAACGATCTCAGTATCAAATAAAAATTTGTCATTTCATATAATATAACCCATAAGGTATCTGGTATAGTGGTATGGTCACTAGTTTTTAATACAAAAATACGGTGTTGTACTCAATTAAAATGTTGGCTGTAAGCCGGAATCTTTTATTCATCTAAATATAAAAGTAATACAAGCATCTGATTAAAGATATTATGCTTTATAATCAGAACAAAGTTTTACTTTTGTATAACATAATATATAACTCTATGCCAAGTTTATTTATATATAATCAAAATTCTGTATGCATAACAATCACACATACTGGTTGTTATATGTATCACGTATGAGGAATGAGTAAATACTAGAAATAAAAATAGTTTATAGCCAAAAATGAACCAAAGTATAACCAGATAAGGTATCAAATACGATTAAAATGTAGGCATTATTATTTATGACTATTTTAATACACATAAATCATGTAACATAAGATATTCGATTGTTAAAATAAGTTAGGTTCGGTTTAAATTGAAAACCAGCATATCTAAAATATAGAAAAGAATGGTTAAATTTCACTTATCAAAAATTAATAGTAATGTAATTTATATATATATGTGTGTATTTTTTTAATGATATTTTTCCAGTTACGCTAAAATAATATCTATAATATACTTACCACCTACTAATGTAGTCGTGTTTAAAAAAATCTTCCAATATTATAAATCAAATTTCGTTTACTAGTAAAGATAATCTTTTTACCTACTCAATTACTTTTACATTATATTATTGGCCACATGCCCACATTTAGTGTTTAATTTGATGTATAGATACCTACGACGTTTCATTTGTCATATCCAAAAATGTCGGAAAAAATATGGAGACCTGTCTAATTTTATTTTAAATCAAATTATCAATTGGGTATTAGAATCGTTGAAGAACACGCAGTTATACATTTATTGCTTTTATATCCCTATAAGTTTATTAATAACTCAATCAAAACATGAATTGTATTGCACTTATGTAAATTATTGGAAAGACAACTAATATTTAAATAATTGCGGGATACAAAATATAATATTATTAAACAAAGGTACCAACTAACTTTTTCCCGTCCCAAAGATACACTATACAGGCATACATAATTAGCATATATATTTAGCCATATAGGTTTACTAACGTAACGTAGATTCTTAAACCAACTTAATAATCAATCATAATTTTTTTTTTTAATCGTATCACGATTAACATCTTTTTCAATCCTCACTTCTCTACTTGTACGAGTAGGTGAATTTCAAAAAATAGTTTTAAATACAGTTTTCTCTAAAAATGTAAAAAAGTTAATGGACTAATCCTTATATCAAATTCATTTAAATAACTATATTATTCACCAAAATGTAAGCATAAACAGTTGTACTTATAACTAACTCAAGATTGTAATGTTCATTCAATACTATTTATTTCAATATTATATTTTTTATCATGTCTTATATCCTAAATAAAATCTACAATTACCATGTATAGTTTTGAATGATTCGATCAACCACTCATTAGATAAATATACACGTATAAAAAATGTAAACAAAAAATATTGGTACGTACTTTTATTGAACATAAATTAGTATCGATAGCCATACTTACTAAAATAGTAAAATACTTTAAATTGCAGTGTATAAATTTCAAAATATAATATTATGCATTATGTATATTATTATTATTTAAACAAAATATATGTCTAATTACTTTAATGTAAGTATTTTAAAGGGTGTGTAGATAACTGAACGTTAATTTATTTAAATGATTTATATCGTTATACCTCAATATACATCTGTGATGTTTTTAAATCAATTTCCAAACTTTTTTATGATTCTAACACACTAAGTTCACCTATAAAAATGAATTGCACTTTTAAAAAATGTAGTGATTTGAAATTTTAAAATATAATAAACATAATACTACTATACAAATTCTATAACTCACCGATCTTTGACAGATTTACATATTAACTCTATTTTACACGATTACATAAAGATTAGGTTATATAACAACGAAAAATAAAAGTTTGAACCAATTACCACTTAAATACTTATTACAATACAGTTCCATAATTTATTGTAAATATTTTATTATACTATTCCTTAAATTGTACAATACATTTATAAATAATAATGACAACAACATATAATATACAACACTTTTTCAAAAATCTTTTTTGCAATGTGCAAATAATCAATTAATTAGTTATTTTTACTAGAACTTCAATCATTATTAATGATCGGTTTTATTTGCTTCTATCTATCTCGAGGCTAAGAATTAATATACGTATTTATACATACGGTATATACAATTTAATGTAATATATAATATATGAGCATGGCAATAAGGGCAATAAGGCATTTTGTAGGTGTTGCATGCCACTATTAACACCGTCCACGTGGGTGTAACTTGCTCAAACCGACAGCAATTCATTTGAGTAAAAAATATCAATCTAAATTTTATCAATACAGAGCCATTACAGTAAAATTGTTCAAAACCAATTTATTATCTTAATCAAACCAGTTGTTTTAATGTATTAATGATTGTGTTTTGTATACGTGTTAAAAACAAACTCGCATTTATACTGTCAATGCCTGTTGGCTGTTTAATTATAACCATCTCAGGTTTAAATGATATTTTCAATTTGTTTTTATTTAAATAACAACATGTGTAATGCTGTACCATCTGTGTTAGGTCGCATGATTTTCGAGATTTATTTAAGTTAAACGTATTGATAAGAAAACATTAATTTTCAGGCTGTGACATTTTAATAATGTTATGTGTAAACACAGTCTTGGCAGGTAGGTACTTGTTAATTACAAAGCGGTGTATAATATTATATTCACTTATATTTAGACAAGAAATTTAACAAATATTGTCGTGCGTGCAGGTGTTTGCATACAACGTAGGACGGTAGCCGGTAGGTTACACCTATTCTGGATCATAATATAATATTAAAATCTGTATGATCATGGAAAGGTCATAACTTATGAGTTATAACTTAAACATTTCATGCCTAAACAGTTAAAATATTAAACAACAATAATATTATAATGGGTCACTCGGCAGAGTAGTTTTTGTTTTGCGTAAGCATTCAGACAAATCACTTGGTCGCCTGCACTGCCAGTAAACGTCGTATGCATAATGTAATATATTTCGCTATAACATCCGTCAATGTTATTAGTGGCGGGGAAAAAAATCAGCCGAGAGCGATATAATATTGTCGTAGGTGTCTCCCGCGCGTGTGTGCGTGCCATTCACTGACCGGTTCTCGTTTTGTATGAATGAGAAATGTCGGTAAACAACAATATTGAAATAATTATTTATATTATTCATTCTCAAACAATCCACGGGCAGTAAAAGGTACACGCTGCTGCACGACCATCATATAGGTGTGTATGCCAAAATAAAACCCGTTTCCGAACGCCTGAGATATTGTTCCGTGACACACGGACAACATCGATATGAAGTCATGAAGATTATTTTATTACGTACCTGTTATAATATTGTATTAATATTATTATCATTCGCGCCAATAGGTTATTCGGAACATTAACACGTAACATTGAGCCATTGAAGTCCTTATGAACTCAGGGTGTGAAATTTTTTTACAAATTAAATCGTTGTTAAATAGGTACTCTTTTATTCGATTGGCCGTTATCATTACCACCTACAAATTATAATATTGATATTATTATTAACGTCCTCGACCAAGTACAAGACACGATCCCCCGAAATAATTATTAGTTTTTTTTTTAGTAAATTGCATTCGTTTGGCTTTGCGTGTGCAAAATAATATTGTATATGAAAAACATCAAACATGCTCAACATCTTTACTGAAATAAATTACTACACACAGCTAGCTTAAAACGTTTTAAAACTAAAAAAAAACTATAAAATGTTTAAAAATAATTATCAATCATATTAACGCATAAATCGACACTTCGTATTCCGAACTTTACACTTACAAATTATTATTTAACATACATCTAATATAGGAAAATCGGAAAATCGACTCTATAAAATATCGGTAAAGATTAGGCTGTATACTTTGTATGATATTCAAGACAATTAAAAAACTGAGGTAATTTTAATCACATTAAGAAAATTTCAGTTACATACGTATAGGTATGTATGGTGCCATATGGTCCCCCCAGATGCAAAAAAAAATAACAAAAGTCAATCAATTTTTTATAAAACAAATTAGCAAAATATAAATCATAATTAATAATAGCAAACAATACAAATTGCTATACATACCAAATGACTGGTAGTGTAATACCTAATGTAAGTGTAATATTCTTATTTTCAGATGCAGGGTATTGGTATTAAGACACAAGACCATGGAATCTTACCTGCAAGCAAAGACATTGTAAAGTAAGTAATTTAAAGCTATACAAATATAAAATGTAATTATATTGTTGGTATTATTGTTGTATTAGTCCAAAAAAATATTTGTACCCACATCATTATACCTACTTACAAGTTACAAACATATTATACTCATTGATGATACGTGTTCTAAAATCTATTGATCAACATTCAAAAGATGCTTTGTTGTGCTAAAAATTGTTAAATAACCACTTCATATTTCCCGTGATTTTCTTATGTATCTACATATATAAGTACTATAATAATAATTTGTATAACTTAAACTATAATTATTTTATTATTTAAAGAACAGCAATAAAAAAAACAAAACGTGCATAATATTTTTAATAGTAGATATTAAAATTCATCAAAGTACATATTATTCTCATATCGACTCAAAATAATCATTATGATAATATGATTATACACATTTCAACCGTACAACTTGTTTTAAAAATAGATCTGACGACATTGTGATTTGTGGATATGCAATAACGTGGAACGCGTTAACTGGTACCGAAGCGTATAAAGACGGCTTTCCAGCATACACGTGTTGAATATTGCCGCGTACGTGAAAAATGTTCAGCTGTGTCCAAGAACATAGTTTGGTTATTTGGTTAATCGTGTGGTAACCTAACCTAACCAAACAATCACAGCAAAGGTTTTAAAACGTGTACATAGTGGAAACCCTCCTTGAGAAGCCGAGAACCAACGTTTCACGTGGTGCTTCATATGTAAATACTGCTTTAAATGAAACGATAATTATTATAATCAACAGCAATATTTCATAACGTAAAAATCAAAATACATCGTGTTCCTCGACAATTCCAGCAATGCTCAACTTGAATCTTACAAATTTAGCTATATGTACCTCAGGTATGTTATGACTTGTAAATACATTACAATGTGTCAATGTTACATTAATAACAACACATTAAGGCCAGTAAAACGATCGCAGGTCGTATAAGCTTAATAATAACTATCTATCCTTAGTCCTTGCGTGGAACCTGTGAATAATATAGGTGACGTGATATATTAAATGCCTGTGTCTCAACTTGGCCGCCATCCTCGGCTTGTAATCCCGGGGAAACAGACAACGGGTTTTATCGGGTCAGAAAATATGATGACTGATGAGGCTTGCAAATGTAACATAATATTGATTATAATTACGATTTACCTATCAGCTAATGATAATATTGTGTACAACACTTGTCCAGTTGTCTTGTTCCGCTGACATGTTTTCGCACTGATAACACCTATAGTCACCGGCACGCATGGACAACGACATGGAATCGGTTTTATCGAGGAACGGTGAAAATTCTAATGGCACTGATATCGGGATATAACAATATTAACTTTACCTTTTTATAATAATTAACAATGAATGGGCGGCCACCTGTCACGTGACAGATTCTCCATGATTCTGTTGCCACTCATCACGAGTTCGTGAAAATTTCGAGCAGTGAAAACTTACGATTCAGGTGAAACAAGTCTTGTGTGGAGGTACGGATATGTATTTGCAAACCTCATCACTTCCGCCCCGACGAAATGTTTTGACTGTTTCCAGAAGATTATACGAACCCGTTTTTTAAGAATAGGTATTGTGATAATACATTTAAAATACTAGGATTATAAATACGTTTCGAAATAAACTTTAGCTGCTATGAATAGATCATTTAGTGAAGAATATGTAGGTAATGTCCATATTTTGATTAGTTTTAAATTATTGTTAGAAATAAGTCAAGTCGGAATAGATACTGTGTATTAAATTGTAACTCGCACATGAAACCATTAAACGCAAATCTTTCGAAACGTTTTCCTATTTGTTGTTTTTTGATTTGATCGTCTCGTGATCAATACATTAAAACCGACACGATCGTTTAAGAATAAATCGAGAAAGGTATGACAACATATTATACCCGTCGGTAAAATGAAAAAAAATATATATACTAGACGGCTGACACTAAACGTAAATGGCAGCGCCATCTAGCGAGTAGTAAAAAACGGCCGTCAAAGGTAGTTGTTAGCGCGAGTGCACTCACCGACGTTCTCAGTTCAAAATGACGACGGTAGATAGCGCCGCCGTTACCGTTCGGACTCAACGACTGAATATTACCATAACGACATATTACATGTAAAGACGTCGGTGTCATTTTCTAAAGACACATCAGGTGGCTCCGATCGGTAGGGAGAGGGTGGTTGAAGGGTGGGGAGCCAGTCTTGAGATATCAAAACAACATATTGATACCATGCTGTGGTGATCACTAGAACTATTTTTTAGCTCATACCCGATGACTTATGGCTAAGGTTGATGAGTAGTAAGTAGTGAAACGGAACGATAATACAGCCAATACCTGGACAACGACAGTGATGACTCATAACGAGTTTTAATTGTTACGATGAAAAACACATTTCGCGAATTAACACTAAAGGCATTGATTTGATATTTTAATCCTGTGACACCGTGAATCGGGGATTTATTTGCAACAGCGTCAAATTTATACTCCGAAATTCAAATTTATTGTAAGTGTAGAATAGTAAGAATATAGGTAATAAAATATACCCAATTAGCCAAATTTACAATAAACTTTCTATTGTTTTCTTTAATTATAATCTGAGAATAAAAAAAAAAGTGATTTGAGTATAATAAAATATAGCAGAATGGTGATACTAAATTACTAATATTGCAGTTTGTAGTTTTGTACGACTTTCGAGGGTAGACTCTTGGGTAACCTTTCGATTTTCAACTTTTCAAAGTATTCAAAATAATATGTCGTCAATTTTCGATTTCCACGTGATAACTAGTTTAAGTCAAAACTTATTCCAATATGTACGACAAAATCGTATACAAAAACAATTTTTAATCATTAATCATTGTAACATTTTCGTGGTTGTTGTTAATCACTGTTGTGTACTTTAGGTATATTACTATATTATAGGGATGATTGATGAATAATGACAAATATTAATTCTAAGTGTCAAACGTGTAACCATGTGTATACTATTTACCCACACAAATGAATAATTTTAGGATCCAGGAATTCATATCATTTTACATTTTTACCCAACGTCCAATATTTATTATAATAAAATAAATAATTAATATTGAGAAAAGAAAACTTGATGATATTATTATTACTATTATTAACACTCGAGTAAATTGTGTTGAAGGGACAACAAATAGGGTTGTTTTCTTGAATCGACATTGGAACATACATTCTGTGCAATGGCCGTGTCATTTGTTTGTGTTTTACGACTTTCTGTAATTTTAAACAAAAAATGTTTTGTGGAAAATATTGTTGTTGTCATTCAACATTTTCCAGTTGGAATTTCTGACTTGTTGCTCTACGAAACACGTCGGTGAGAGTGAAATGGTTAATTTTCCTACACTGAACCCCTTGCAAAAGAATCTTTAGAATATGTTTCGCTACCTACTTCAAATTATGAAAACAATTTTAGTTTAAAAGGTTTTTATTATTTTTAATTTTATTACTACCCTGCCGAAAACAATAATTTGTTCATTATTTAAATTGCTTGAAAAAAATTTAAACATTGAACTCTAACTTGTTTGTCAACTCAAGCCCGACTGCAACTTTCAATTACGTGTTTCAACATCCCAAGTGGGATTTTCAATACCCCGCTAAAACGAAATATATAAGATTTTAAAAACATGTGTTTCTATTTTTTTTGTGTAATTCTCGTCACTGGTAGATATATAATAGTTCATAAGATTTTGTACAAAATAATATCGATCGATTATAAAGGTTGGTATGGTACATATTCTAAATTATAATAAAAATGCGTATTAATTATTTTGTATAATATGATTTCTCATAATATCAATATCGAAATCTCGATGATTTTTGTTCTTACAATGTTCCAGTCATAACATTTTGGAAATTTTTGAGAAAAATGTTAAAGAGTATAAATAGTCAACGTTTTCGTATAATAAATTCGTCATTAATATTATAATATAATATTAGACACGCACACGTAGGTACGTAAATAATTGCAAGTACCCATATATAGGTACACTTTCATGAAATATGGGTGTATTTATAGATCAGTATATTATTATAACATTTAATACGAACTCGGAAAGCAGCAAAATATTCCAGTGCGGGTCATCGACACCGTCAAACGGCCATCGGTATTTGAGTATTTCCTGGTATTTCGACAATCAGCCAAAGTCGTTTACTCGTTTACGACGTTAAAGTACACTTTTATAATATTATATAGACATTATTTTAAACCATATGTGCGTACAGTGTACAATGTACACGTGATGACTATAATGTGTTTATTAATATTATTATTATATAACTATGTATGTATAGAAATCGTGTTTTTGATATTATTAAATCTTGGAAAGACGTACAGTGTACATAATGCAGTTATCGTTGACACGTCTAAACATATTATCTGATTTGAATATCAGATTTTTGTGTGCAGTGCCGTAGACATAATTATGTAATGGGGGAAGGGGGTACACAGAGATAACATGAATCTAGGACGTTTCCCCCTGACCAAAAATTAAAAGCCGAAATATCAAACAATATGTACAAATGATTGAATTAATATTTAAATATAATTCAATAATACTTTCACATGACTTTGGTTTAATAATCTTTACCCATTAAATTGGGCAATAAATTCATAATTTGAATGATAATAGTCAAAAGATGGTGATATATTTTGGGTTAAACCAGAAGACCTATTCTCCAACCTACTGAACTATACCAACTATATTGAGTAAAAAAATATATTTTTATTCAGGAGGGAAATATCTCAGTCCGGGGGATAACCCTCACTTTGGCTACGTGACTGGGCACCAAAGGGTTAAGTCTCTTAGGTATATCAACTCAGATAGGTCGTTTAAGTCACACGTACATTCTTCCAATTTCGGGAACACGACCGTGGTGGACAGTATTATAATAATAATATCATTGGAAACATAAATATTTCAATTTTTCGTTTTTGGGCAAAATACAACAAATTGAAATCCATGTAAAGTTGGTTGTTATCTTATTTTAATTTGTATTTAATTTTCTCTCTTACTCGATAAATCTGAGACTATCACGCATAGGAATGCAAACTCAAATTGTTGCAATAATAACTGTTATTTTCTCATATTTTGAGTTGTGAATTATTTTTCGTGACATAAATCATTCATCATAATATTATTACTTGTTTGTAGCTGCTATCCCTGCGATAAAAAAAATGTGAGTTTATATGAGCACTTAAGACATAATATTATGTACATGTAGGTAAACCACACACGTAATAATACGTTTTAATTACGTATCGATGATCGTCTTCTACCTAGTCTTAAAACAGTTTTCCCTCCAACCTCCTGTATTTATTACCGAGAGCCCAAGTGTTATGTTACGACTTTTTTTCACAACTCAATATCTGTCTGTTCTGAACCGGAAGCGGGGTCGAATGCGGGTGAGATTCCAACGGTCATTTAGCTCTTATATTACAATGGGTATTAAGCATAGACATAATAGTTTCTTTTTTTTTTTGTTCCACGCGCTCACGCATTAATCGTCAACATGTTCCTTTATTTGGCATTCAAATATAAAGAGCACTAGTCCATTCCAAGCGCACTCATAATCGTTTACTTCTAAAGGGGCTAATGTATCTTTTAACAGACAATCGATTATCTGAAAGACTATTTTATGTGAAAAAAAATTATTCGTAACAGAAGTTGAATGGCTGTGAGTCATCGATGAGAGAGCGTGTATACACAGGTCGAGTCCATAGTTCAATATTTCTATTATACTTTATACTATAATATATTATTATATTATAATACTTGTCTGGTACCTTGTACCTACAAGGCTACAACGTATTTTAGACTTTTGGATGTCTGTTTATGAAAAATAATAAAATACGTTGTCTATGTTCCTCTTACAATATTGTCGTTTTTACTGTTTTTAGAATCGACAAGTTTTTTTACGTGTTATAATATTTTAATTGTAAGCCATAAATATTATTAATTTTTAGACTATGAAATATAGCATTATTATTAATTTTATGTTTTTACTAAGGCGTAATACACTATACACTTATCCAAAAAGAATAGGACAAAACATATTTTATCTGTAAAAAAAGTGGACGAACGAAACATTTTTTTTTAATTAATCACTTTCATGATTTATTACAAATCACAATAACCTGATAAACTGAACAAAACAGATTTGTATTCTTAAATAATAGTTATTCGCCAATGATGTCATTATAGTTTAGTAATTAAATTGTCATAAAAAAAGTGTAAACAAACTAATATTAAGTAGGTAGATAGGTATTAATTAATTAGCTGTAAAATCAATACAATAATCTAATCTAGCCAATACGTTAACCAAACATAAAATAAATAATTATTAATATAAGTATAATGTAAAGTACTTAGGTGTAGTTACTTTTAGCTTTTAAGTAGGTAAAAGATACAATTTTATAATTTCAAACATTTAAAAGTAAATAAACTGTTATAAATTTAATGGTAATCGGAATAAAAATCCCCCGGTGAACAACCACGGAAAAATAATCCCTGACCCTAGGAAAAAAATCCTACAATATAACTCATAAACACATGCAAATTATTGAACAAATATTTTATTAAACTCTAATTAGTGTAGTTAGTAGTTACCAACATTATTAATATTTAATTATATATATATATACTTATAGTGAAGTAATATATACTATGATGTAGGAAATGTTCAATTTTTATAGCTAAGGATTGAAAATTTAAAATATTACCTACGTTTCTTATAATATTTTGGCTATAATGTAAATAAAATATTATTAGGAAGTTTTTTTACAAGTTTTACTTCCTATAGATGAAATATTTAAAATATTATAAAATAAAAATAAAAATAATTATCAAACAATAGTTAATTTTACTCAAAGTAAAAAAAAAATCAGTTATCAAAGGTACACACTACAGTACTACACCATACACTACAATAGGTAACATTTTAAATTCTTAATTCTTATATAGTATATTATATTGTCAAAATGTTATAGAAAATAACCTAAATTAATAAAAAAAAAAATTATTTTAGTTACTTAATTTTACAGAATTATACATAATATCGCAGTTTTATAAAACACAATATTATTAGTAAAAAGTATATATTTGTAATTAAATATTAATAATGATGGTAATTAGTAATTACACTAATTAGCGTTTAAAAAAATATTTGTTCAATAATTTGCAAGTGTTTGTGAGTAATATGTATAGTCTGGGGATTTTTTTCTGGGATTGTTCGCTGGGGAATTTATTTTCCGGGGATTTTTATTCCGCAATTCGAATTTAATATCTATTTAATATTGAATTGTCAAAAAAAAAAAAAAATTATCTTCTATACATTATTATATATAAATATTAAAGTTAATAATATAAAATAATATGTAGTATGTACAATACATAATTAATGATAATTAAAATTATTACTAGCATATTATTATATATTACTTTATTATAGTTTAAAATTATTGAGCTATATAAATTATCATTAAAACAAAATACAACGCGTCTTAATTGTTTAAATATATGAAATACAACACTTAAGTCATTGATTTAAATTTTTAATTAATATGGATCGAAATAATTATAGTCAACATAATGTACAATATTTGATTAAACGATAAGTAATGCCAAATATAATAGGTATTTTAATTATATTATTATGTTCGTTTTATTTAGGTCTTCCAATAATAAGATTTATTTATTAGTCAACTATAATAATTGGGAAATTAGTGTTGTAGTGATTCTGTGTATAATTTATACTTTTAGAAATCATTGTCTCATTTAAAACACTGGACAATAAAATTGATTTAATGCACTTAAATTAATATCAAATAATGACTCATTATTTTTCATTAAACTTGAAAAATAATGATTTAAAGAAAATAAAATATTTATTAGGTACCTAAAATGAATTTGGGTTAGGACTTTTTCATGCCAACTCTGGTATATTCACTACCAATACATTTTTCTGATGGAGTGAAGTAAAAAATTATTAAATATTAGGTAGGTAGTAATAAGTTAATTTAATTTGATAATAATATTTAACATTTATAAAATGAATCACGGACGTTTCGCCCCCGCCGTTTCGTCCCCGCCGTTTCGTCCCTGTCAAAAAAATCAGTCCACGGACATTTCGTCGCCGGCAATTATTGAGACAGGACATTTCGTCCTGGACAGTTATTAGCCATAGGACGTTTGATCCCCGGCATATTTTCATTAGGTATACTGTATAGGACATTCTTCGTTCTCAGGGTTTTAATTACCTCATACAAAATTCATTATTTTACTAAAATTTACTACATTTATTTTTTATTTTTTATTCTTTTAATTCTTAATTTTTTCTACTTATAATTATATATTATACTTATAGTACCTATTTAATTTTAATTTATTAATTTTTATTACATTTTGTATTGACTTAATACAATTGTGATTTATTTAAATCTTGACTATTTGTAATTGTATTGCACGAATATTGATTATGTATTTGTATAGTTTGTAGTATTGTCATTTAAAGATTAAATTGTTCATTAAAAATTAATGCATTTAGATTATCAAAGTATGCCGGGGACCAAACGTCCTATGGCTAATAACTCTCCGGGACGAAACGTCCTATCTCAATAATTGCCTGGGACGAAACGTCCGTGTAATGGTTTTTTGACGGGGACGAAACTGCGGGGGTGAAACGTCCGTTAACCTTATAAAATTGGTCCAAACACACTGCAGACGGAACAATTCTCTTGTCTTGGCGCGGCGGTGCCTCGGTAGAAAAATAGTTATTAATTTGTGTTCGGAATCCAAATCCATTTTAGTAGACAAGTTAGACAAAGTGATGATAAATTAAGCAATGGAGACTTTTTGACATCTGTGTCTAACAATATAAGAAAACGAACTGACTAAACCGAACCTGACTATAATTTCATTATAATTATTATATATACAATTTTTTTGACCGACTAACTGATATTATATTATATTATTATAATTACCTATGTAATTTTTTTTTATAATTTTTAAGATTTAAAAACTATATGGTTAATTTGGCGATTTTTTCCGGGGTTTTTTATTCCGGGATTCGTGGCACCACAATATGTACGGCCTGACACAGTTTTCAATGAAACAGAATATTTTTTTTTATTATTATTATTGTTACAGCATCGACATCAAGGTTATAAGCTTACAATATGATTATAATATAGTTATGTACATTAAGGGGGTTTTCACAATGATGTTTAAAAATAGAATATTTTCATATTGTGCCTATAATACTACCTAATAGAGCAATAAAGTAATATATTAAAGACTTCGCAATAATTTATGTGTACCATCACAACAAAATTACTCAAATTAAATACAGAAGTCTGCAAGTTTCCTATAATATTTAAATAATGTTTTTTTTTTTTTTATGAAAATTGACCATTTCATTTTCTTTATAGAAATCGACGAAAATCTAGATGGAAGCTTAAATTTCATCATCAAGCATTACCTCCAGAGTATTTGAATCATTATGAAGCATCTATGATGTCTCCTCAACCATCTCCAGGGATTTCATCATCTCCTACACCTGTCCTTTTCACGGGAAATGTCAAATCAAAACTACCACCGGAAGCTCAAACTAGTGTCCGTTTTGATGATCTACCATACATGGGAGAGATGACATTAGACAATGCAAAACCGCGAAGGGGACGCAAACCAAAAAAGGTAAACATTATGCATATTGTGAAAAATAAATAAAATAAAATAAATATATATAGAAGGATAGGTACTCTTTCAAAATTTGGTTTTTTACATCGAAATACCTGTACTCAGACAAATATTATGCTTTGAAGTATGACAGTGGCGTAGCCAGGAGGGAGGCTGAGGGGGCTGCAGCCCCCCCTGAAATGTTAATGAAATTTAAAAATTATTTTAATGGTATTCGATCAAAAACTAAACTACCGCTGTGTAAAAAATTGATCAGCCCCCCCCCCCCCGAAAAAAATCCTGGCTATGCCACTAAAGTATGACATTAAAAATGTATGATCATTTAAAAAAGTAAAAATTTACAAATTATACTGGCAAAAAATAGTAAAAGAATTGTTTTTCAAGAATAGAGCTTTCAAATAATTTCAAATAACGTAAAAAAAAATTTTTCAAAATCGATTATACATTTCAAAATAATTATTAGTATTTACTATTTAGTGTAAAAAGTATCACCCAGTAATCAGTATAAATGTAAACAAATCTATAAGAATAAGTTTTCTGTTACTGCTCATAGATATTGAATATATAAATATTGTTATACGTAACATATTATTATAATCTTCTTAAAAATGTATGTTATCTTATCGAACTACACTAGACACTATCAAATTAAAAATATGAAATATAATAATACGTTAACATTATACAATCAGTGTTATAAAACACCTTATAAACACAAGACTTTATTATTAATTAATTCACTTTTATGTTTAAATACTACATTGTAGATTTTTGAAAAAATGTTATCTATATAATTTGACAATAGCGTGATAATAAGATGAAACTATTAAACAGAAATTAATGTACTTAAACATCAAATAAATCTAAAGAATGTAAATTTCATTCTTTGTTACTTCATTTGTAAACTTATGGATAGTAAGTCCCAATTGGATACAGTGTATATGAACAATAATACCTAATATAACAATTCAAAATAATAATAGAACATTTATTTGTATTTCATTGTATTTACTAATCAGATGTTGTAATTGTGTTATAGGCTGATATATGTCACTTGATATATAAAAACTACGGTACAACTGTCGTAGAAGAACCTTTGAACCTATGCGTCAGGGACCAGATATCATCGATAAATGATTTTCAACTACCTGGATCTACCAGTCTCCAAGAAACATTGAATCTTCAATCAAAAGACTCCAAACGTAAGAGCAAAAAGTCACTGGCAAGAGAGCGTTTGGAAAAAACATTCAAAGAAAAAGGGTTCTTGATACAGACCCAACAATTAGAATCCGCGCAAGGAGCCACGTACTGTAAATTTAGACAGTTAAGGAAGTTTACACGATATCTGTTTAGAAGTTGGAAACATCATTTACCTGGTGATGTCGTAGACAACGGTGTCAATAGTCAGATTACCTGAATTGTCTACTAATTAAATAATTTGATTTATAAGTGTTGTTTCTATGAGTGAATTATATTTAATAATTCTTAGAACTCAATACATGGACGAGAGTGAAATGTGAATATCTAAGTGTTTAGAAGCGAAATTAAAATCAATGTGTTAAGAACACAATTTAATAAATTTATTGGAGACAAAGAAGTTTTATCGGTGAGTGTTATTATACAATTTTGAAAAAGAAAAATGTATTTGCCAAAGTAAAACATCGAATATAAATGTCTAAATGACGTTAAAATGTAAACAAAACACGAGCATAAAGCAAAATAATAAAGCTTTGTTATTTGTTTTATGAAATCTTTACAGCTTACTGTACAATAAGGGGTACATCCAATATTCCTTAATAGGAATCATTAACTCGTGTAGTTTAATTTACATAAATTAATACCATCGTAATTTAAACAAAGAAAATAGTTAATTATTTGGTGACAAAATAAAAATATTGAAAAAGAGACTATCCATCATTAAATGAGTTTTTAATATTTTTAATTCTTATGATTCATGAAACACTGACATGGTAGCGCTGTGGCGTTAAAAATGAAGATTTTCATTTTGTTTACTTCCTTAAATACACTTATAGATGGGCAATGAGACGAAGGGTGACCTTGATATTTTCACAATACTATTTTAAAAACCACTTTCAGTACAAACGTGGACTTTATAAAATTATATTGTAAGAAATAGCGAAGTAAAAAAAAGAAAGTCTAAAAAATAGTCTACATACTCGTAAGTCGTATTATAGTTGTAACTCTCTTTATAATATGACTTCGTGAGATTCAATTTTCATAATTATTTATATTAACACTGTTTCCAAAATTATTGGTCATGTCCTTAATATTCTGTTGTGTCATATTATACAATAATACGTAACATGTGCTTATAATGTTTGTATCTTATTTCTTAAATAAAACGTGCAAAAAATATAAACCAACAGTCATGAGATTCATAAGTCATAACATATGACAGATGCATATTGAAAATAGGTATAATATACAGGTATGATATTAGTTTTCAAAATTTTAACCTTGATACCTTTGTTATTTTTTTAAATATTATACATATTTCAATTGATTTTTTTTAATGTTGAATTCATCTTAAAAATAATTTATAAAAATTTAAAAATATTTATTTATTAAATTTAATAGAATATGATATAGGAATTTATCTTTAAAAAACACTTGCATAACATAATAATATTTTATACTTACATTTTTCCACGTTCAAAAATTTAAAAACCATATACTATAATTGACATTATATATTTGTCTTTGTACAGCTAAATAATTATTTACTTTAAAATTCAAGCATTTTATATCAAACTATTTGAGTATACCTTATAATTTGTTTTTTATTATTAGATTATTCATATATACATATATATATATATATTTGAAAAAGGATATTCGTTTTATTTATTAACTACCATCTCTATATTAGATTATGATCATAGATGATTAATCATCAGTTTATAATTAAATATCATTGATAATAATAAAATGAAGGCATCATTTTACTCCTTCCTCGTAATTTATTATTTATATAATGATAATAATGTAGGTGTAGTATAATATATATAATAGCCTAATGCAGGACACAAAACTCAAAATCAATAAAAATTACTTTATTCCTTATTTGCTAGGTTTGGCAATTTATTAGTAAATAAAATCAATCGTTTTAGTATATTTGTATAACTTTAGTTTATTTTACAAGTATGAAATGTCATATTATATTGATGGACTAACAAATTATTATTTATTTATCTGTGGACTGTGATAAGTAAGGTTCTATTGGTGCTAAAACCACGAATAAAAATGTTGTATAATATGTTGACAAATATTTTAGTACCTACTATACCTATTGTATATGAACACTGATCTTGTTTGTTTTTTACTTGTTTTTACTTTGCTTAGTAATAATGTTTATTTGTGGTTAAACTATATTGTTACCAACACCATTAGCCAAGCTAATTTGTTGAATTATTTATATTTTTGAAGAATAACAACGAATGTATTATAATAATAATTATATGTTTTTATTAAAAAAAATGTTGTCAATGTGTATTCATTTTTAAAATGTATTCGTCATAAAGGGGTTAAGCAATCTGTAAATCTGACTTCTGAAATATACTTATTAAAGAATAAATATTTAAGAAAATTCAATCTTTAAGGTAGGTGAAATTAGATCTATTGTAGGAACATACTTATTGATATTAATAAAAAAAAAATATTATATTTTTAAATTTATTAATATATAAAATTATATTAAAAATGTATAAATATATATAATATTATAATATCTTAAATATTTCCTGAAACTTGTTGGTATACGTTACAAAAAATGCATTGTATTTTGCACTGATGTAAAATCATAAAGAATAGACAAATATATTTTACACTTCTAAAATAAAAAATGTATACAATTATATGTCTGTAAAATTATTTATAATAGGTACTCTTGTTTTTTTTTTTTTTTTAATTTAAGCTTCTGCAACTGAGGCCATTAGCTGTAGGTTGTGGTACTGTAGGGTTTTGGGACTGTAGGGTTGTTGAACTGTAGGGTTATGGAACACGTGTGGGTTTGTTTGGCAGAATTTCTTGTGGGCACCCGTAGGTTTCTGCCATACTCGGTTGGGGGATGGCGGCCTCTCTCTCCAGACACCGTGACTGCCCGGAGAGAAAGAAGTGGCGCGCGTGACCGAGGTTCCAACCGACGACGGTGACTCTTGTTTTTATATAATTATATAGATAAGATGCAAGATAAAAATATACCTGCACTAACGTCGTCTCCTATATTACCTCGTGATTGTCATCTCCTTTTGAATGCTCCAATCTCCAACTCTGGAATGGGGAGAGGGGGAGTCAAAAATAAAAAATTCCAGTACTTTTTAAAATAATCAGGAAAAACAAAACAAAAAAGTGGTAAGTATGGATGTTGCTCTGCTGTACAGTGGGTTACAAGTGGGTCACTGTAATGGATGACTTTAAATTTGTATTCATTTGTATGTCCCATTCACACTAAAAAAGTCCATACCCCTCCCCTCCATTTTCAAGGATTGTCAATCCCAATATCCTAAGAAGTAAAATACCTCGGTGTCTTACTTGACAAAAGATTGACCTGCGGTCTTCATATCAAATCAAAAAGAAAAACTCTTAAGTCGACTGACTTTTACGGTGCCCGATTCTAAAATCAAAACTACCCTTCCACACAAAAATAATCATTTAAAAATCCTTATTAAGGCCTATCTGGGCTTATGCAATCCAGATCTGGGGATACGCTAAGCCATCTCAAATACGTACCCTCCAAGCCTTCTAATCAATCAATCTCCGCATTATCTCTTTTGCACCTTATAGTGACTTAGTAGGTATCTAATTCCACACTTAAAAATGACTTCAAAATAGAAACAGTAAATTAGCCACAAAACAATACAAAAAATTTCACTCTAAATTACAGTCTCACTTTAATCCTTGAAATGGCTTCCAACTCGCTTCCTAGCAATCCCCCACGCCGTTTAAAGAGAAAATGGTGTCGTGACTTATTAAACGATTAAATCACTGACTATCACTGGATGGTCTCCCTCCTCATGTGTTCATGTTGTATAGTGTATTTATTGTATGTTCAGATTTGCTTATAATGGCTTATAGGTAAGATTGTAAATATTCTTTTTAAGATAAAAAAAAAAATAAAAGTAAAAATAATTTGTGTTCAATGATATAAAATCATTGTATATGAAAAACAATTTTGAGTGATCTGTCAGTACGTAATATTACTTAGTAATTTTGTATATTAGATGATATTACTGAGATTAAAGTAATTTATTTTTCTATTGAGTATTAGTATAACAGTAAGTTAAATCAATTTTCGCCAAAAAATTACATTTTAAAAGTCGTTGAGTGCATAAAATATAATAATATTCCAAATTAACTTAAATCATTATTCTTGGATTTTAGATATATTATGTCGTAGAAATTTGAGCATAAAATAAGTATAAAAAAAACTGTGTTAACCTATATACTATTTATATTTTTTGGTTATAGAATTAACTACTTGTGTGCAACTTTGTTGTACATTTTTGATCCTATTATTAGCTATAAAAGTTGAACATTTAAAATAAAAATTTGTACATTTTCAATTTGATAAATTTTGTTAAAATTTGAACTTTAAATGCTTATAAAACAAAAAAGTGCTTATGTATTCATAATATTTGTTAACTGATATTGTTACGATAAATCAGTAACCTTGTATTACATTTCCAAGCTTTTTGGCCGAAAATTTTATTGACATTTATTAAAAAAAACTAAAAAATGGAAAATTAAAAATGTCCGTAAACAGCTGAAAACGAGACAAAATATTTTGAGAATTGTATAAAGAATACGAATTAATAAAACTAACATAGATTTAAAAAGAATATTTTCTTAAGGATTTCTCATTCAAAAATAACTGGCAAATTTTCGTGATTTTTATACGAATTCTGCCAAAATTCTGAATTCAAACGCTTGTAAAGTATAATTGTGAATTTACACTGAATTTTTTTTTTTAATCCCCGCTAGTAACAAATTACGAAGAACCTTAGAAGTTTTTTGACAGACCAAACATTTTTTTATCGATATTAATTTTAAAAAAACTAATGATAATCGAAAATTGCATATGCCTAAAATAGCTCAACACGAGTCAAAATATTTTGAAAATGTTATGGTATATAGAAAATTCTAATATAATATACATTTAGTGAATTTAGTTAATAATAATAAAATATCTGCAAAAATTAGTTCAATATAATATCACTTTTTCAATAATAAAAAAATTAATTACCAATAGTTGGTAATATAAATCAATTATAAGATTATGAGAAATCCTTAGAAATAAAGATTGACACACGTCACACGGTTTCCGTTCAGAATCGTTATTCGTGTGTTGTGATTTATCGTTGAATTTAAATTAACACATCCATTACAGTGACCTACTCAATAACAAAGTACCTACATACAAAACCTACTAGGTACAGCACAGCGATTTCTACGGTTATTTTTCATAAATTGATTACATAAGATAGAGTATAGACCATAGTTAGTACCTAAATAATACGAAATAGTTGTTCTGTAATGCATTCAATATTAATAATTACTAATTCGTTTTGAATGCTTTAAAATATAATAAATATATATATAAATATCGTAGGTAATATATTTCTCAGTATTATGTGAACATTATTTTTTTTTAATGTGGAATGTTAATATTGTTAATAACGTTAACATTTATGTATAAAATGATTTGTTTTGAATAAAATTATGTAGAAAAATATTTCATTTTATTTTAATTTATTTATTAAAGTATAAAACAATAATTATTATTTACTAATTATGTTAATCTGGCAAATATTTTTATTATATAACACTTGATATATTGCACAATTCTACAATACAATCTATATGTCGATTGATGTAATGAGATTTTTTGTAATTTAGTCCCATGTAACTCTATAGTCCAGTGGCGTATATAGGGGGGAGGCCCCCTAGGCCAGAGCCCATAGTGAAATTGCAGGCTCAATTAAAGCATTGCATGTATATTTACACTGTTAACAGTTTTTCACCATGATTAAGTTAGCCGGTTGATTAAAATCATTTTTGAGTAATCTACAAGGAAATGTTAGATATATTGACGGGACTTGCTTTAATGACTTATTGACTTTGATGTTAAATTCATAGTAAGATAACATTAAAATATACAAACGACACTGTCAATATTTTTAAAAAAAGAAACAAAAAATTAATTTTACATAATAATTATAAAATTGAATTGCGCAATTTTTATTTGAACTGTATAATATGTCATAATTCTTAATTATATAACAGCTGCTCCCTTAAAAATGTATTATTATGGCTATGCTGCTTGACTAGTGATAATTGATAAATCGGCCCATAGTGAAAATAATTCGTATATACGCCACTGCTATAGTCTGTATAATGTTTTCAATATGATGCAAAAATAAAGAAA